GCAGAGCATAGCTCCAGTAGCAGAGTGGTTGAGAAATACAGGTGGAGTAAACCATTAGATGCACTGCTGGTGCAAAGGATCCAAAGTTCCGTGCCACCTGGGAGAGCTCACTTTACCCAACATCTTTTCCCCAGGATTTTTGGCTGTTAGAAGAATCTGGTTAATTTGTTATGACTTCTGACTTCTTTTTTTCCTCGCCTCTTCTAGTTAGCTGTATTCTGTGAAGTCCTCACAATGCAGCAGTCTGGCTATGTTATGCTGATGGACTACCTGCAAAACAACTTTCGAGAGCAGCAATATAAGTTCTTTGGGCAAGTGTTTTCCTCTTACACTGGGCAAGAAGAAATTCATGAAGCAGGTATTTACTGAATAGTTATTCCTCTCTTCACAGGTTGAAAGACAATTTACAGTCCAAGATTCATCCTATGATAGTAATTTTAAATTGTATAGAAAGTAGCATGTTGTATTATTACTCATAAACCTATCACTTCAGAGAAAAAAACTAGCAATCATAAAACATGTCGGATTAAATGGAGTGGAAAATTACATGCTTGTCTTGACCAAACGTTCAGTGAAGATCACGTCAGTTCAAGCTTTCTTGCACTGCCCTTTTAATGTGTTTCAGACTTAAACAAAGCTGCCTTTCAGCAGCTGCAAGAGGATTTTGCCTTACAAACCCATTTAGTTCTGTTGTATAATGTGGATGCTTTTCCAACAGAGGCTGAAGTGAGGTCACCAAATTAATTTCACATAGTCTGCTGAGAAAGTGATAGATGGAGAGAATCCCAGAAGGCGGATTCTGTTCTTTGTTTTACTTAAAACCTCCGGGAAGTTTGTGAAGGTTATATGACCAAAACAGTACATTATGTAATGGGAAACAAGATTTAGCACTAAATATGGAACTCAGTGATTTCTATACTCACAAGCACAGTGAGTAAACATCTGATTTGGGGGCATTATGTTACTACTTGAGTGCAATTTAAGTAGATTCTTAAACTCAGTTGTGCTTAATTAGACATAGACAGATGACTAAAGCATGTGGGTGTTCCTCAGATTAGAAAGAAGTGTGGTTTCATTTTAATTCGCTTTGGTTGGATGGATATTTTTTTCCTACTGGAAGGATACTATGTATGAAACTCGTGTACAAGCTGGGGGATATTTATCATTCAAAACTGCTGGAGGGCTGGGTCCCCTGCACAAGTACATCACACTGTTTCACCACAGTGCTTCACAGGATAGCTTTACTGCTTCATTTCTATAACCAGTTAGTGATATTTCTGTTTTGACCTCAGCTTCTCATGAATTCTTCAGATATGTGCCTAGGATATGATTTTTTTTTGCATTGGTCTAAGCCAAGAAATATCTGTTCTGGCAGGTTTTATTTGTTTAGGTACTAAGTGGCTCTTGAAATTTTGAAGTTTGGAGGAGTGTGGAATTGACCTGCAGCAATCAAGCAAATTATCACAATTAAATAAATTTCTGTTTCTAAATGGATTTACAATGGACATTGTTGATTTGGCCTAATTTAAAGAGAGATCATGCTTCCCCAAATCCCTTTGTTTAATGAAGTTCTCCATGAAACAGGACACTTTTCTTATATCCATGTTGTCAGAAGGAAATTAATCTTCTCAGTCCTTTATAAATAGGAGTCAATCTATAGTGAAGAAATGTCATAGGCAAAGGACCTTTGAAGACAGAGACCAGGAGTTCTTCTGTCATCTGCGTTCCACTTGCCTCCCAGGTGGTTGCACTACAGCCATGACCTTGGCCTTAATCTTTCAGCTCAGTTGCTGCAATAGAAGGAAGCTACTTTCAGCAGTGCTATCCTAATCTAGATTTCCATAGAGACTAACAAGAAGAAAAGATGGGTAGTACTGTTTAAGAAAGGCCTCTGCTTCCTTCTGTCTACTCCATGTGCTGACAGCTAAAGGAGTTTGTTTTCATATGCTGTCCCAAAGCAGTGTGTGAATTGGAACTGCATAGGGTGTTGCTTCTAACCAGTCCCATTTATGCACTATATCAAAGAGAGATTCTATGAATTTTCTATCATGTCTGTGAGTTTGGTACCCATACAGATAAGG